AGAGCCCGATGCGAAACAGCAGGACGCACGCGTGAAAACCGGCGACGGGCAGCACGCCTCCGCCCAGCGCTGCCGTGGGCCCAGCCCGCACACGGCTGTCCCCACGCGCGGAGTCGGGGTGCTCGACGGCCTGGGCATCTGCTGGACTTTCAAAGTGGAAAATGAAAACAAAATTGGTTGAATTGCTAGAAAATACACAGGCAGCTTTACACCGCCACGCAGGCTGCGAATGCCCTTCACGGATGACAGAGTGCGAAGCGCGAAGGCCGCTCTGGGAGCTGCCTGGCACCCTCTCACAGGGAGCCACACACGCTCGCCCTAAGGTGCGGGGCTCACCCGAGACACGCAAACACACGTGCCGCACGAAGCCTGGGGTGAGACCGTGCGGGCAGCCAGGCTCGACACGCCCAGGTGACCCTCAGAGCTGGACACGGCGGTGCACACACACCGCGAGCGAGCCCGGTGAGAGCCAGCACCAAAGCTTCTTGTCTACGGTGTCCTGGAACAGGAAATCCTAAGACCTGCGGATAAAAGTCAAGGCCGCCTCTTGGGGTGAGGCAGGAAGAGGGACCGGGAGGGCGCGGCCGGGCGTGGGCCTGGCCGCAGGCGGCGGTGCAGACGTTGGTGCTCACCACAGTTTGAGGGCACCGGACACACGCTCGAGATCTGTACAGGCCGCAGTGTATGAATGACACCTCGTACTCTCAGAAATGACACAACTGGTGGCGTCAAAACTGTATTTGCAAAAGCAGCACAAACAAGGCTAAAATGCCAAAGGCAGACGAGAACAACCTGCTGCGCTCCTTAGGGTACAAAGGTGAACTCGACATAACGGCTGCTGTAAGTTAATGAGATCGCAACACGCAGCCCACTCCAAAGGGGAGAGAGTGAGACTCACAGACGTGGCCACAAGTAAACAGGGGGAGAGTCCCGCCTCACCTGTGATTCATGCCACCTTCTCTTATCACACGGGATCGGGTGGCAGGGAGTGTGCCGGCCCAGCTGGCCAGGCTGCAGGCAGCTCGGTTAGCCAGACCCCGGTCCGTGTCCCCTGCCCCTGCGTCCCCCTCCCAGGGGGGCTGCACAGACAGGCCCTCGGCTTCTGCACCAGCCGCTTACCAGCCCAGACCTAAGTGGGCAGATGTCTACGGCGGGTTAGGGACTCAGATATCCTCTCGGCCATGCACAGTGGGACAGTGAGCCAACAACAGAGACAAGGACGGTAACCGACACTCACTGAGGCCCCCTCAGGGCCTGACACTTATCACGGACTAAACGCCATAGCGATCCTGAGGCACGAGGCTCATGGCGACAGGCACCCGCTGACCGGAGGCTGGGCGGAGCCCTGGCCCCACCGAGGGCAGCAGATGCGCGAGAGGCCCCATCGCCAGGGCCTCGGCAGGCTTCCTGGGCCCCAAGTCCCGCGATCAGCCAGAGCAACAGGCAAATCAAGGAAAGAGGATGTCACACAGCTTAGCCCTCCCTCCAGTTAAAGATGCAACGTGTCACCTGCCACGTCTGGGCTTCTGTGAGGTTCACGTCACGTTACGCCGAGTGTTCAAGAAAAAGCACGTCAACTGTGGAAACCCCCAAGGTGAAAACGTCACTCTTCCGTCCTCTAAATAAAGCGTATACCCAGGCACACAGCACGTGTCCGAGCTCGCCAAAAAGACGCCGCTCGGCAGAACTTCAGAAGAAACTGGCAATGACGAGCGAGGAAAAGAAACACAGCCAGCAACTCACAGATGCCCGTGCGTGCGGTGGGGGTGGGGGGCCGGCCTCCCGATGACCGAGGGCCGGTGCCGGGCCGGCCCCCCACCCTCCATAGCCTTGCCCACCCGCCTGGGCTGTGGCCCCAGCTCCGGGCCCAGCCCGGCCAGTGGCCCAATGGCAGAGCTTGCAGACACAGGGCCAGGGTGGAACCTTCAGTCTCTGGCCTCCAGCTCTAGCTGGCCAGTCCGGCCATACCTGTGGTCACACACACAGCAGTGATTTACTGAGTGTGGAGTAAGCGGGCGGCACTCCTGACCACAGGGGACCCACAGCCCTGTCCACAAACACGGCTGCCTCCCTGCTTCTGCAAGGGGGCGGCGGGGGGATCCACCCGAAAACACACCACGGCCAGAGAGGAAGGTGTAGCTAGGACCCAGACCAGAGCCAGAGCAAGGAGAGACTGCGGTCCCCACGGTGACCCGGGCTGGGGGCCTGGACAGAAGACCGGGTGTCCGGGCCCTGCGTGGCCGTGCACGCTTCCCCGGGAGACACTGCCCCTGGAGGGCGGCCACCCTCCCATCCAGTGCCCTGGGCTGGGGGCAGGGGCTGGCACACCAGTCAGGCACCGGCGGGAATGGGCGCCCAGCTCAGTGCCTGCCTGTGGGGTTCGTGGACGAGTGTCACTTTCCCGTGGAGACAGAATTACATCCCAGGCAGGTGCCTTCCACACACTGGGGCAGTGGGGTCAGGGACGTCGGCAGGCGCCTTCTACGTCCTTCCTCGTCGCCTCGCCCGGCTTCCTGGGGGGCACTCGGCGGGCAGCTGGGGGCGTGCAGGGGCCAGACCGCCCAGACGTGAGCTGGCGCTGCCCACTGCCATGCCCGCAGACCGTGGGCTCCCGGATCCGCTTCGTAGCTGGGAGGACTGAGCGGGGTGACATCTGGGACACACTTAGAACAGCCTGGCACCGAGCTTCACCGACGTCATCTGAAAGATGGTGCCCAAAGAGTTCGACTTCCCTGGACGCTGGGACGTCCCCCTAGGGACGAACAGTGCCCTCCCGAGGACCCCGGGAAATGGCACGACAGGGGACGCGTTCCCAGCACTCCTGAGCCCGCGACGGGCTTCCTAGCCCCGCAGTTGGCTGCCAACAGCGCGGTTTGGCCCGGCCACGCGCCTGCTCCAGCCCTGCGAGCTCTGTCACCACGCGAGTCTGCGGGGCCGGCTCCAGGTCACTGCTAACGGGTCACAGCAGTGGTGCCTTCCCACCTTTCAGGAGGAAAGCCGCATCACAGCTCTGTGGCAAAACCGTGACGGAGCGGGGCTGCGGTGTGCCCCTCGGCGTCCCGTTCCAGACACGGCGCTCAGAGCGTGCGACCGTCACGCCCAGGCTCGCTGGGCCGTGCGCGCTGAGCCATGCCTGGATCCGCGTGGAGCCCCGCCCGAGCCCCCACGGCCAGGTCCGCGGCTCTGCAACTCCTGGGTCCGCGATCACAAGGAACACGGCCCCAGGGGGTCAGGACGCCAGCATGACAGCTGAGCGCTGGGTCTCGGAGAGAAGTGTGCTCCCCTGGGTACCACCCGCCCCCCAGGTGGCCTCTGCACGGCCCGTTCCCCGTCACCGGCTCACTACCCACGCACTGCCTAAATGGCGAGCGCGTGGAAATTCGCTCAACACAGTCTGACGGCATTTACTTTTCAGCCAGAACCCAGGACAGCGAGGTCTTCCGGTCACCATCACGGAAGCACTGGGAAGCACAGCCACGGACTCTGGGGTTGGAACCCACAGGACGAGGGAGGACAGGACCGCCCTGCAGTTTCAGTGAGAACAGCAACTGCGGATCCGGCCCCGACCCCCTCATGCCTCACGGCAACCCTGAGTGACTCCGTCCTCACACTCAGACAAAAGTCACACGCTATCAGATTCACGACAGGGAGTGACCTGTACGTTGAAGCCCATAAAACTAAAAGTGACGGGAACGCAGCAGACCTCGGCCCCCTCACATTTCAGGTCTGTCTCCTGATCTTGGGACAGAGTCCCCTACGCCCGCAGATTTGGGGAATGGAGGGTGAACTGGATGGTGAGGACGGCCTGCTTCCTCCCTCCGCTCCCCTGCCTGGCGGTGCCCCAGGCAGGCTCCCGCCGTGCTGGGACGGGGTGCAGGAACAAGTGTCACCAGTGCCGTCTGTGGAACCAAGGGCTCGGCGTCATGCTCAGTATGAGCCGGAATGGGTGCCGCGCTGAATGTGTGAAGGTCAAGTCTCCTCTACGGAGGGAGGAACCGTTGAGAAGTTATGTTTTGCAGGACGAAACCATTAGAGCGATTTAAAATAGGGTAATTTCTCTAAGGAACGACAGGAACAGATACCATTACTCTAAGCAGAGTCTAACGCTGACGCTGAGTGCCTCGGAACCAGAACTCGGATCCCTGGGGTCCGCTTCGTCCACTCAGGCGTTGGGACTGAACGTCCGCATGTTCAGGGGGAAACCCGGCCAGACGTTTCCAAGGGCACACTGAAGGACAGACACTGGGGACAGGGCCCCGACTGCCCCAGCCGAGGACGGAGACCCTCCCAGCGTCCAGCATGCGGGTACCTGCCCTGCTCACAAGGCCTCCGTGCAGGCCGAACGGGAGCTGACCGGTTGGCAGAGGCAACAGTGGTCAGGCCGCATCGGAGAACACCGGCGCCGTCACGCCAAGGCGGGCAGCTCTGCAGCTCACTCCAGGTCCCCGCGCCGGGCTCCGGGCCATGTCAGAAGTCCCTGGAGCCCGAGGCAGCCACGCCACCAGCACTTCCCGGGCGGGCACAGCAGACACCGCGCTTCAGGGCCACGGCCAACACCACCAGCACGTTGAGACGTCTTCCGGTTGTCAGTGCGTTGGATGCACAGGACGCAACGTGAAACCGTCCAGCGCCCCACGTTTCGGACTTGAGGTCTGACGTTCCCTGCTGTCTGGTCACATGGTTGAATCCCGGCTTCAAAGAGAACCAGCCGCCAGCCCACCACGAGCACCCCACCCCCAACGCGCCCCAGTCTCGACGGGCCAGACCGTTACTGACCTCCGGGGTCTGACACACGTGCCCGTTGCCCTAAAATGAAGCGAGTCCCCAGAAACGACGCACTGGGACAAAGTCCTGG